TAGAGCAGCGCTTCGTGGCTGCATGGGGAGCTCCACAAAAGGCCTCAGTGGCGGTGTTCGCATGCGTCTCCCCCAACCAGTACAGCGCTTCGTTGCCCCAAAGGGAGTTCCACCGAAGGCCTCAGTGGCGGTGTTCGCATGCGTCTCCCCCGCCCAGTACAGCGCTTCGTGGCCCAATAGGGAGTTCCACCGAAGGCCTCAGTGGCGGTGTTCGCATGCGTCTCCCCTACCCAGTACAGCGCTTCGTGGCCCCATAGGGAGCCGCACCCAGGGCTCCAGTTGCGACGTTCGCATGGCGGCCCCGCTCCATTTCGGCACGCCCTCACACGCATTGTGGCCCCATATGGAGCGCCACCGAAGGCCCCAATGGTTGCGCCCGCATGCGTCCCCGTCCCATTTTGTCACGCCCTTTACACGCTTCATTGCCCGTTAAGACCACCGAAGGCGATTCCCACAACGGCGATATTCCCAACTGCATATGACTGGGGCCTTCGCCCGCATAACTGACACGAGACAGGGAGGGGTCACCGAACTGCGTTGTTGTGCCCCGAACTACAACAACAACAACAACAACAACAACAACAACAACAGCAACAACGGCTCCCGCCTGATAGTTCCTCGCAATGTATTCCTAAATCGTGCTCTCGCACGGGACGCCCTCACAATGTATGCAGGGGTCTCGCAATCAAGGTGGGACTTCCTCACAATTTACTCAAACGCCGCACCGTCGACACTCAGGAATCACGCTCTCGCTGCGGATTCCCCCGCGTTTTTTGGGGGGGAATCGCGCCATCGCCCGAGGCTTGCATGCAAGACGCACGTTGCAGCAACCCGCCTGCTCGACGTTGCCGCCTGGGCCCGCCTTCCCGACCCGCCCGTTAAGGCCTCTCCGCCAGATCTGCCCGTCTGGTTCTGCCACGGGCTTTCTGCTCCCAGCCCCAAACCTGTCAATGTCCTTCTTCTTCCATCCTTCTTCCTCCCCGTTGTCCCTTCCTTCCATCCGTCCTTTTTTCCGCAAGTGTAGGAGCTGCACGAGGTGCACGTGGCGGGTTAGGAAGGTACGCACTCCCAAGGGGGTACGAGCGGAGACGAAGAGGGCGGGTACCGAGGGTTTGGGATATACGTGTTGAATGGCTTCCGAGACAATAAGAGCGAACAGTCTAAACTTGCGTGTTGCTGTTATGGTCGTTGAGTTTTTGTTTTGCAAGGTTTCTTCAGGTTGATGCCCACTCGGGTAACCATTGCGCTTTTCAATTTAAGTGTTTTCTCCTGGGGCTCGCACCGTGTTTTTAACCAGAGACAGTGAGGGACCACCAAACTGCATGGTTGGGCCCCGATGTACAACAACAGCGGCTCCCGCATGATACTTCCTCGCCGTGTATTATCAAATCGCGCTCTCGCGTGGGACGCCCTCACAATGTATGCAGGAGTCGCGCAATGAAGGCGGACGCCGCACCGTCGACAGCAATCACGCTCTCGCTGCGGATTCCCCCGCGATTTATTTGCGAATCGCGCTGTCGCTCCTTCGCGACGCACGCAGGACGCACGCTTCAGCAACCCGCCTGCTCGACCTGGCCGCCTGGGCCCGCCTTCCCGACCCGCCCGTTAGGGTCTACCCACCCGATCGGCCCGTCTGTGGTTCTGCCATGTTTTTTCTGCTCCTAGTACCCCTCCTGCTACTCTCGCTCGTGCTCCATCCTCCTGCTTCCCCCTTTGTCCCTTCCTTCCATCCGTCCTCTCTTTTCCTGCATTAGGGGCTGCACGAAATACACGTTGCAGGTACGACAAATCTATACCCCCAAGGGGTACGATCGAAGAGACGAAGAGGGCGGGCATCGAGGTTGTGGGATCTGCGTGTTGGATGGCCCGCGAGCAAATCAGAGTGAACAATCTTCAAATGATTGTTGCTGTTGTTTTAAGCCGGGGGACACAGGGCACAATTTGCTGACCCTTTCAATCTCCCTTTCAAAAGTGCGAGGACCCTGGGACCCTGGGACCCATCCCATCTGGGGGGGTGGGGGGCCCGAGGACCTGGAGCCCGGCAGATATGAGCGAACAGTCATAAAATGCTTGTTGTTGTAGTTGGTGTTGCTGTAGTTGCTGCTGCTGTTGTTGTTTGTGTTGTTGGTGTTGTTATTGACTTCTCATTTCTAAAGACCAATTGTTGTGGATCCCCCTGTACGGTGACCATGGTGTGTTTTAATTGAAGTGCTTTTCCCGGGACTCGCACCCTGTTTTTGTCAAGGGAAACCGAAGTGTGACCAAACTGTGCCCCTGGCCACCTGTTTACAACAACAGCGGTCTCCGCCTGATACTTCCGCACGATGTATTGAGAGATCACGCTCTCGTGCGGGACTTCCTCACACCTTCTACATGAATCGCGCTCTCGCTTGGGATTTCCTTCAATTTATGCTGACGCCGCGCCCTCGACATTCAGGAATCACGCCCGATCTTCCCGCCTGGTTCTGCCATGTGTTTTCTGCTCCTAGTCTCCCTCCTGCTATTTTCTATCGTGCCCCATCCTCCCCCCTCCCCCTTGTCTCTTTCATCCGTCCTCTCTTCCCCTGCCTTAGGGGATGCACGAAATACACGCTGCAGGTAAGAAAGATATACCCCCAAGGTGGTACGATCGAAGACGAAGAGAGCGGGCATCGAGAGTTCGGGATATGCGTGTTGAACGGCCCGCGGGCAGATAAGAGCGAACAGTCTTAAAATGATTGTTGTAGTTGTTGTTGTAGTTGTAGTTGTAGTTGTTGTTGTTGGTGTTGTAGATGTCGTTAATGATGTTGTTTTTGCTGTTGCTGTTGCCATTGCTGTTGTTGTTGTGTTGTCCCTCCGCCGTCCGTCGTCTCCCACCTTCCCATGCCCTTCCCCTTGTGGCATGACACCGCTGGGAGGGGCATGGCAGCGCTCAGCCCCAAAATGCCGTGTTATCAGAGTCGAGTCGAGGAGGAGCGGAGCAATTTCAAGAGACTAGTTTTACTCTTCGTGCTGTCCCAACGAGCTCGCCGAGCTGCCGGGCGGCCAGAGCCAGGCGCGAGAAGCACCGGCAGCAACGATTCAGGAGGCGATGCTCGCGGTACGAGCGCAGCAGCAGCAGGAGGAGTCCAGGCGCAGGTGTTTGGTTCCATCTTCTCCCAGTGTGGCCCTGCTGCCATTGCTCGCCTTCGCAGTGTAGCTGATGGCATCGGGCTCCAGCTTTGGTTCCCAGAGAGCTCAGTGTGACGCAACCGACGTAACTCGTTGCCAGGACTGTCTTCCTCTCGCGCCCGCTCGCACATAGCAGCGAAACTGACGATGTCTGGCGCCGGACGTGAGTCACGGGTCCGATTCCATGCGCCAGTATCTGATACCAACACCATGTTATCTCACAATCTCCGTTCCCCATGATGCAGCAGGCGATTGTTCCCTCAAGGAACGATGTATCGGGTCCTGGTGCGCGGCGCCCAATTCTTCTGTCGCGCATGTGGTTCTGGTTTCAAAGCTTCTTGGCTCCCGTCGTGCAGCTGATTTTGTGTCTCGCCGAGCAGCGCCGCCCCCAGGGAGAGTCGATCGAGCAGGGGGGGGAGCGGGACATCGACCCCCCATGCCTGCAACCTTCGCAGGCCACTTCGAGTGAGGAGGAGGGGGAGGAGGGGGAGGAGGAGCAGCAGCAGCAGCAGCACGACCAAAAGTTCGAGGATCGAGACCGAAGATCGTGGGGGCTCTCCTCCTCCTCCTCCTCCTCCTCCTCCTCCTCCTCCTCCTCCTCCTCCTCCTCCTCTTCCACGCGTGCAGCTGCCGCCGTTACTTGTTCGCCCGTGGCGCCGTGCTGTCGACGCCCCAGCAGCAAGTCGTACAGCATCTCGCTCCGCCCGAGGGCAGCTCGAGGGCGACGCCCCGAGCCCGATGCGTCGAGTCCAGCCGTAGAGCCACAGCGCAAGCAGCGTGTCGGCCCCTGGACGGGCCCCGTGCGCCACGAGGCCTGCTCGCCCTCCGGCCTCCACCCTGCACCCAGCGCGACTCAGCCCCCGTCATCCATGAGTCATCGTCCGTGCTCCGTCCATCTTTCTCTTCGGCTCGCTCGTGCTCATCCTATTGTCGCGCACGGTTCTCCTTCTCCTCGCAGCTTTACCCCGCGCCCTTGTCGTGTGCTTCGGCCATGGGGACGAAGTCCAGCAGTGGCCGATGGGGACTTCACAGGGAGCTGGTCGGCCAGAGGGCTACCTTGCATCGCAGGGCAGAGTTCCGCGTCGTGGGGCAGGATCGTGTGGAGACGGGGGCTCGTCAGGTTCGTCTGCGGGTCTGGACGTTCTCAGGCCTGCCTCGAGTAGCGGAAGCTCGCCGCCGGCACCTCCCCCAGAGCGCTTGTGTCTCCCCCGCAGGCCTGTATCGACGCCTCCGATTCGATTCGGTTTCGATCGATTCCGATTCGATTCAACTTCGGAGTCCAATTTGGATTTCGGTTTCTCAATGAGGGCCTTACCAGCCTGCCGATTTCCGCCGATTCGATGTCTTCCGGCTTGTTTGCTGATTTCAGTCGATCCGATTCATTTCGATCGCCGGCCCAATTCATCGCTCCGATTCTTGGCTCTCCTGCCCCTAGGGGCGCGATCGTCCTTCGCGCGTCGCGGTCAAGACAAGAGAGCTCCCCTTCTTTGAGATGGCCTCGCGAGGGTGCCAATCGGCGGCGAGCTCAGAGGGGGAAGTAAGAAGGGGGCATGCCTTCTCAGAAGGCGGCGGGGCTTCTCAGAAGCTTTCGCGCCTTCTGAGAAGCCCATCTTTGGCTTCGGAGATGGTTTGCAGGGCTTCTCAGAAGGCGCGAGGGCTTCGAGAAGCCCCGTCGCCTTCTGAGAAGGCTTGCCCCCTCTCGTTTCCCCCCCCCCCTCGGGCTCGCCGCAGAGCCAAGATGATCGCGCCTCGCGCATCGCACGTGGTCCACACAGTTGGGGGACCCAGGAGCGCAGGCGGACCAACACTTGTGGACGGAGCAGCGCTGCCCTCTGGCATCCCCCCCGCAGTCCACGCAGTTCTTCGAGCCCGTGCTCCTGCCCTGCGAGCTGTGGCACTCGCGGAGCTTCAGCCACCACCCCGAGTTCCGCAAGCACGGCCTGTCGCGGCAGCCTCAGACGGCCCCGGTCTCGGCGGTGCTGCGGCACTCGTCTGTGCAGGAGGCACCCACACGCTCGGCGGTAGCAAGTTCTGGGGGCCTTGTGTACCCTCGTAATTCGCCACGGTACCTGGCCCTGGCATACGGTATATGCGCCCTAGCTGCCGGGCAAGGGCCCGGCTACCACGGTTGTGGTGTAATTACAGGTGCCCTTCGCAGATCGGCCGTCAGCTGACGATGGACGGTCACGAAAGTGTGGCGAAGGAAAGCAGTATGCGAACTCGATCGCCGGCTGGTTTGGCATCCCCTCACCATAAGCTGCAGCGGCGCGGCCGCGACTGGGCTTCAGCTCTCGGTGCGTGGTCTGCTCAGCGAGCCGCTGTCCTGCGCGCGCGACGATGGGTCGGTCAGCTCGTGCGCCATTGTGCACCGTCGGCCGAACTGGCCCCGACGGACTCGGAGCGCACTGAAACGTGATGATATTCCCTCCCCCTCCCTCCCCCTCCCTCTCCGTCTCCGCCTCCTCCTCGTTAGCCAGTGCATGATCTGCCGAGCGAGCTGTTGACCTACGCGCTGGTGGATCGATCAGCTCGTGCAGCGTCAGCTGAACTGGTCCTGCAGGGTCCGAGAAATCTAGAGCATACCACGTTCGGTATCTCTCGGGAGGGTTAATAATGTTCCAAGCTTTGAGAGCGTGGTAGATGATGATGAGAGGGACGCATGATGCTTCACATAGTGCCTTCCCTCCACCTCCCCCTCATCATCCATGACCTATTCCTCCAGGCTTTCTGGAAATAAGCACCGAACGCAGTGCCGGTGATGTGATAGTTCGCCCGCGCATTTCTTGCGAAGGGGGATCATTCCGACCAGGACTCGTCTACGGGCCGGCCAGCGTGGGCTCATGCCACCGACACCTCCGTCGTCCTCCGCATGCGAGAGGTTCAAGACGTGGGTCTCGTCTCCGAGGGGTCTTGCAGCTCACTCCCTCGGCGGCCGGTGGCGGAAGGCCATCGGAAGCCAGCGGAAGGCAAGCGGCGGCGGGCCCGACGGCGGAAGCCGGCGGACAGACAAGATGCGCCTTTGGGGGTTCAGGGTCTCCGGAATCGGCGATGCCCCTCTGCCACGAGGCCCCCTATAAGCGTGGATGTTTCACACATCTGGACATTAGCGCGCCCGGGAAAAAACAGCAGCCGTGGATCGAGACGTTCTCCAGCCTTCGTTCTCTCCAGGTGGCATTCTCAAAGTCCCGACTGGCAATGGCCTGGTTTAGGGCCCCCTGTTTTCCACGGGCAGCACCGGTCCCTGCAGGCCTTTTCTAAGCGTTTCCCAAGAAATACGCGTGCCCAGGAGCTCTCCAGAAGGTCCTTCGGAAGCTCTCTGCAGGTCCTTCCAGAGTTCTTCGACATGCCTTCGCGCGCCCCTCTGGCGCCCTGCTGTCTGGGCTTGGGATCCCACAGAAGTGTCCTGGCCCAGGGGCCACTGTTCTCCACGGGCAGCGCCACTCACCCTGCCATGCCGGGTCGCCCGTCTCTTCTGCTCGTCCAGCCGATGGGGCCTACGGCCGGTGGCGTTGGCAGTCGACGGCAGGGGCCGCAACGAGGGTGCGAAGCAGTCTTCGCGATTCGCGCTTCGCGACTCCTCGTCCTCATCCTCAGTCTGTTCTTAAGGGAGCAAGCGCTGACATAAGCATACCAACTCGGAGGTCCGCGCGGACTTCTCGGATCGGCGCTGGAGCCCCCTGGCGGCACCTCCGGCGCCGCCCCTGGCGCGCTCCGCGCTCCAGGGAGGGGGGTCCAGCGCCGATCCGACAAGTCCGCGCGGACCTCCGAGTTTTTATGTATGTCATTGTTTGTTTCCCTAGTTCTTCTCCCCCAGGGGGGGCGGCGCGAGAGAGCCAAGTTTTCCGCGCTTCGTGAGCCTCGGGGCACGAACAGGTAGCTGTCCATGGGCAAGCGCCTGCACGGTGCCTGCGCGTGCGCGCGTTGGGCGTCTCAGGTACTGGTCCTTCAAGTCCCTGGACGACCCGCGGGCGCTCGGTCACCCCCTGACGCTCTGGCCTTGGCCGTGCGCCTTAGCCTTGTCGTCTTCTGCTCGTCAGGGAGCCACGGACGGGGGAACAAGTCAAGTGCACGCGGCATCGGAGACGGGGAAGTGCGGGGTGTGTGGGAGGGCTAGGGGAATGATGTTTCAGGGGCAACAGTAGGGGGGAGTAAGCTCAGAAGGGGAAAGCATCGACCACCAATCGCCCACTGATCGCTGGTAGGGGCTTGATCGCCCATGCCGCCAAGCGACGTGCGGTTTCGCTATTTTGGTTCATCGCCGATCTTTCGGCGACGTATCGCCGATTCCAGCTCGATGTTCCCCCCCTTGGCCAGTCCCTTCCTAGAGTTGCCCCTCAATGACTGGGACAGCAGAGAGGGAGCATTAGAAGTACAGTTCGTTTTTTTCGATTTATGAGGACTGGAGCAATTTTCGGTTGGAGTGAGATCACGACCGCTACCGTTGCCAGTGCAGCGTAGCATGTCGTTTGCCTTTAATGAGACATGCTGATGTTGTGCCAGCTTTCTCTTTCGTCTATTCCCAAGAGGCTAGCATTAGTTATGACGCGCTTCCAAGTCTGTGCTCCAGGGTTCCAACTGCTTGCCAGGAGTGACCCATGTGCTTCTCTCGTACCACTAGTTTCAGCGGAAAGCACCCCCACGGGTTTGTTTATGCATGTCTCTGCCTAACACGCCACAGCTCCTAGCATCGAGCTTGGAAGCAGTAGTTTCGGGTTGATGCGAGAATGCTGGGTTCGGAGCTTTTTCTGGTTGAGTCTATCGGTTTCGAAAGGGCTCTTTCATTCAGGTGGCACGTGGAACTTGGCCGTCGAGATGAACGGGGCAGCACTGTGTGCGATTTTGCGACACTCACCAGGGAACGTTGGCACTTCTGCACACTGTTAAGATAATCGGTTGAATGGGTATGGGCTTCAGCGCAGGAGATGTTTGCGCCGTGCGTTGATTGCGCGTGTTTTGTGGGTGGGCGCCTCTTGTAAGCGATCGAAAGGCGAGCGCATCGACTGCATTCGCTGCGAGTTCCGCGCTCCGAGCTAAGGCGTGATTAGATGCCGCGGTTTGCATGAGCTAGTACATGACGCCTGTTGGATGCCGTCTACATATCGTCGTCCATTTGCTTCCAGTGGCGTTATCATCAGCCTTCGAGCTTCGCGGGTTCAAGCCAGATTAATTTCGTGTGTTTCCCCTCCCGACAGGTTGGGTTGTTGGATTTGACTGCGCGGGGAGCCCGGGGGGGAAGTGAGAAGGGGCGGACCTTCTCAGAAGGCTCTGAAGTCCCCCGGCCTTCAGATCAGTTTCTTAAGCCTTTCCCGAAGACGCAGACAACTTCTCAGCAGGTTCGGGGGCTTCTGAGACGTCTCGCCGCCTCCTGAGAAGGCCTTCTCCTCCTCACTTACTTTTCCCGCTCACCGCCGATAGCAGGGAGAAGCTCTCGACACGCCTCGGCCGCGCTGCAAATGCCGCAGCCGCCAGGCCGCCCAAAAAGAGTGTACCCCTGGTGCTGTACACCCGGTCTCCCGCTCCGCCCACTCTCGCGCATCTTGGCCGCAAAAGGCCCCGAGTCTCCCTGATGCTATTTTGAGGAGGAGGAGGAGGAGGAGGAGGAGGAGGAGGAGGAGGAGGAGGAAGAGGAGGGGGAGGGGGAGGGGGAGGAGGGGGAGGAGGGGGAGGGAGAGGAGGGGGGAGGAGGAGGAGGGGGGGAGGGGGGAGGGGAGGAGGGGGAGGGAGAGGAGGAGGAGGAGGTGTCTCTTCTTTGGCCCGCCCTGCACGCCGCGGCCGCCGGGCCCCCACGCATCCCTAGGGAGGCGGATGCACCGCTCCTGGGCCCCGGATGGGCCTGGCCAGGGGCAGTGGTTATATACACCACGTATCTATCTTTACATATATGTATATATACATACATATACATATACATATATATATATATGTATATAGGTATATACATAGGTCTCGTCGCCCGACCGTGGTGATCCATGTATTTCCGCCCCGCCCACCCTGCACCCCGCGGCCGCCAGGCCCCGAGCATCCGTGGTGATCCCCGGGGCCCCGCCTCAGCCGACGCATAGAGGAAAGCACGTGAAGAGCGTTGAGATTAGCACACACGCAGACCTAGACCATTTGCAAGAAGAGGCGCTCAAAACAGGCTTCGCGCTAATTCGTAACTGTTTCCTGGTGAGGAGTCCTCAGGGCAGAGTCTGTTGTGTTTTGTGTTTTCCCTGCCGCCTGTCAGATCAACGGCACTGTCTCGTACAGAACAGTGGCGGTTGGGGATGAGCGTGTCGGTGCACCCTCTTCCGAATTCCATGTTTGGTTCGACTTCATGTTCCTTCTCCCCCTGACCTAGTCATCAAAAGTTCGCGTAGGGGGTCGACTACAGAATTGATTCACCCTGAAATCCATTTCCCCGCCGGGTCTACAGAAAATACTTATAGTGCCTCGTAGATCCACGACAAGTCTACGTGTTTCTTGGATAGTTGGCGGGGAAATCCATGTTGGAGTAAATGAATTCTGTGGTTCATCCCCCATTCGAAAAGTGGTGGGGGGCTCCGGGAGGTCTGGGCCTTCCTTGCTTCCCGGGAAAACGCACGCCGGCACGCCGACACAGGCCAACAACAAACCTTTGGCGCTGCCGCCGACGTGCCGCGGGTGTACGGCGCTCCAGGCTCTGACTCCAGCCCGTTTCAGGGGTAGCGTCAGGGGGGCACCGACAGGGGGGAACGGGCATATGGGGGGAGGGAGAGGCTCAGGGGGGGATGTTTTGATCCCCAGTCGCCAGGCAGGTGTTCGAAGGTCCTCTGAAGTTCTCGAAGGTTCTCGGAGGTTTTCGAAGCTTGGGGTGGGTTCCATCAGCTGCGCCTCGTCCAGAGCGTTCCGGGGCTGCCGGAGTCGTCTCGAACGGCCGCCGGAGGCCCGAAGTATGCGAAGACCACTGCTGGGGACGGGGCGGAAATGAGAGAAGGAGAGGGCCTTCTCAGAAGCCCTCCGGCCTTCTGAGAAGTTTTTGTGTGTCTTCGGGGAAGGCTTCTCACTTCCACCCCTGGGCGCGCCGCCTACTCAGGGATGGATGGGCTCAGGGGGACTGCATTAACCCCCAATCGCGCATTGATCGTCGGCAGGGGCCTAATAGCCCACCCCGCCCAGGTGCGAGCGGCCTCTCTGCCAGGGGCCTGTTGCCGATCAGTCGGCGATGTATCGCCGATTCCAGGTCGACGCCCCTGTCCTGGGCCGTCCCTCCCCCTTTTGCTCCCCCACCATCGGGTTCGCACACCGCTCCTCGGCTCTCCCAGCGACTCGGCGAGACTGCAGGGAGCCTAGACCTCCGATGGTTAGTTAGTCTGTTCAGTTCGCGCCGCTGGCCCCGATAGGATCCCGACCCCAGCAGTACGCCCACGGTTCTATGGCCGGAGCTTCGGCCACCGGAGGCCGAGAATGGCGAACGACTGGACCGTCTCGCTCTTGCCCAGGCGCTGGATGGCTCGGAAGGCACCTCGGAGATCCGACGCCTTGTCTTTTTCAATGCAAGGTCACCGGCGAGTCCCGACCTTTTCCCAGGGCCGCAGGCTTTCCACCCTCAGCCGTTCTCGTGTGGCGCCCAGAGAGGCCACTCAACGGCCGAAGACTAGGGCAGGTTCGTGTCGTGTCGACCCCAGCGTTGATTCATGACACCGCGGAAATCGTTCGACCTTGAACGATCGGCTATCTCAGAGACGCCGGGTCGTTCAAGGATGCGCCGATTCTGGGCCACGGGCGCCTTTCAACCTTGAACGTCCACGCTGGGGCCGCCGCCAGGGAAACAACGAAAAATGTATACACCAGGATCCCGCATACGCTGGGACCCGCTTTCCTGTCGACACTGTAGTGCAGGGCTGGAGGTAGCGTCGGTGTATACAGTTCGTTTCCCTATTTTTCTCAGGTTGCATCTTCGGGGGACATCGCTTGTCCCCAAAATTGGTGTCTTTTCTTGTGCCCGACGCGGGCTCGATGCGGACTCGACGCGGATTTGGCGCGGACTCGACGCAGATTCGATCCGGATTCGACACGGATCTGACGAGTCCAACGTGGATCCGACACGGATTCGACGCGGATAGGGCCGCGACGAGACAGACGAGGCCCGAGGATGCAGCACGACTTTTCCCAGGGCCGCCGGCTTTGCACCCTGAGCCGTTCTCGTTGACGGCCCCGGCGCCCGGAGAGGCCCCTCAGCGGCCGAGGACTGCGGCAGATCCGCGTCGTGTGGACGCGGCGGCAGCCCCGCCCCGGGAGCGTTCCGTGTCGAGCGCCGGCGGCAGCCCCGAAGCGGCCAGGGCGCAACGGCCTGGCGATCGCGGCGCAGCCGATCGTGCAGGGCGGAACGGTCCACGCCGTGCCAGGAGCCGACGCTGAAGTCGAGCGTGTCCTTCTATAGGAGGAATATTCAAAAATATGTTTAAAATAGTCTGGGGACGATTTTTGAATATTTTTGAATCTGCTTTTGGTATTTTGTGTTTTTTGTATTGCTCGTCCCAAATCCCCCTGTAGGAGGACATGCCCGACCTGAGCCAGCGCGCAAGTCGACACGGCATTCAGGAGGGGACAAGAGCACAAAGACACAAGTCATCGTCGACGTTCAGGAAGCTGTAGGAAAATAATGATGGGAAGTGGGGGGAATACTAAAAACCCCAAACATATTGGGAAATATGGGGAATCCTGGGATTTGTATCTATTGTATGTCCCTGGGCCCCTCTTTCAAAGCTCCTTCGAAGCTCGGCGCGATTTTCTTGGATCTGCGCTGGAACCCCCTGGCGGCGCCTCCAGTGCCGCCCCTGGTGCGCTCCGCGTGCCATGGAGGGGGCTCAGCGCCGCTCCAAGACATCCACACGGAGCCCCGACAGTTCATGCTTAGATTGATTTTTGCACCTCCAGAGTCGACGTGGCACGCAGTAGTCGTACGAAAGGCCTCTGGGTGTCTGTCGGCGGCGAGCCCGGGGGGAAGTGAGATGAGGCAGGCCTTCTCAGAAGGCGGCCGGGCTTCTCAGCCTCCGGAGAAGGCTTCGGACAGAGCCGTCTCAGAAGGCGCGAGGGCTCCCGAGAAGCCGAGAGGCCCCGCCCGCCACCTTTTGAGAAGACCTGCCCCCTCTCGCTTCCTCCCAGGCTCGCCGCCGAGACAAGACAGCCGCGCCTCGTGCATCGCAGGGCGCAGTCCGCGAAGTTGGGTGACCCAGGAGCGCACGTGGACCAGGGGCTGGAGGCGAAGCAGCCTGGCCAGCCTTGCCTCAAAGGGGCAGGTGGTCAGATAACGATACGCTCCATGGCTTCAGAACTCCCAGGAGCTGCACGACTTTCTCATGTTCTGCACGGGCGGCAGGAGCAAGGGCCGCCAGATGTCGGGAGGGAAAGAAGGCACACAGACACAACTCACCGACGACTCCCAGGAACAGATGGGAAACTATGGGATGTGGCGGAGTGCAGGGGGAGACGAAACTTCAGAAAACCTAAAAAGATGGGGGGGAATCCCGAGAGTTGTGTCTACAGTGGAAACCCATGCCAAGAAACACCCTGCTTGCCTCCAGGGTGCCCTGGGTTTCATGGGTTTCGATGGTTTTGCTATGGAAGCCGTGACGTCCCCACAAAAAAGTCAACGGGCATCTTGTGGTCTCAGGGTTGGGTCTCTTGTGGAAGGTTTCTTGTGGTCGAGCTTCTGCTGTGTTTCTTTGTGTGTCCCTGGGCCCCTTCAGGGCGCTCTGGAGCTCCTGCTGCCGGCGTCTTCGGCCGCGGTCGGCTTCCCGCAGGGCTCGAGCGGGGCGCCGGGAGCTCGGCGGGGCCTCTTGGCCCGCGCGGCCTTTGGCGCTCCGGCCGAGCCCTGCCCGGCGCAGCGGGGCGCGCCTCGTCCTCGGGGCTGGGCCTCGTCGGTGGGGTCGGAGCGGACAGGGCGGGAGGATCGCCGACGCATCGCCGAGGCATCGCCGATGCGGTTTCGATGAGCCCGATCTCCTCGGCGCTGGCGTCGGCGATGCATCGCCAACGTCGCCGATGCACCGCCGATGCGGCGCGATCCTCCGACCCCACCTGCTCGGACCCCTCCGGGGAGGCCTCTGTCAGAGGGCCCCGGAGGCCGGGGCAGTGCGGGCCAGGAGTCGGGTGCTGCTGGAAGGGGGGCCCCGTGGCCTATAAGGTGCCTCCGGATGGCCAGGGAGGCCCCCACGGCGTCCAGGAGCACCCCTCACGAGGGTCGGAGGGCCCCACGGGGGCTCCAGAATGGAGCGGAAATCTGGGGGGGGAATGGAGCGAAAAAAGCTGGGGGGCACCTTTGGACCAGGGGCACCTGTAGCAACCCCCGAGGGCGAATGGTCAGTTCCACCGTGAGAAGATCGAAGAAGAAGAAGAAGAAGAAGGCACGGCGTGAACATGACTCCTCGGAGCTCCGCGCGGATATCTTGGATCGGCGCTGGAGCCTCCCCTGGCGGCGCCTCCGGCGCCGCCCCTGGGGCGCTTCACGCGCCAGGGAGGGGGTGTCCAGCGCGAATTCAAGAAATCGTCGCGAATCTCCGAAAGGTTATCTTTACGCCATGTTCTGTTCCTCTCGGAAACACAGTGGATGGGAGATGTCACAGTCAAGCCGCTGGTGGAGTGAGGGCACTTTGGGATCAGGAGGGGCTGGTCTGCGCTTGGGAGCCCCTTTGTGGCCGAGGCTCGCCGTGGCAAGAAAGGCCCACTCAATCCTTCTTCAGCGCTCCTTGTGATAGGACGATGACTGCACGACACACGCCTGCAGTTATGTGGAGTGCCCCACCCCTCGTTTGCCCGCTACCTGCCCCCCCCCCTCCCCCCTACTCCCAGCCTCCCTCTCAAGCTCTCCTTCCCCTGGCCTTGCCGACCGAACATGTGACAGCCGCCTCCCTGTCAGGCTGCGCCGAGGCACGCGCAGCAGCACAGCACCAGAAACCACCGACGTCGTCGGCGTCGTTGTCGTCGTCATCATCGTCGTCGTGTCGTCGTCATCATTGTCATCGTCATCGTCATCATCATCATTAGCATCAGCATCAGCATCATCGCATCATCGTCATCGTCATCGTCATCGTCATCATCATCATCATCATCATCATCATCATCATCATCATCATCATCATCATCATCATCATCATCATCATCATCATCATCGTCATCGTCATCGTCATCACCATCACCATCACCATCACCGTCACCGTCACCGTCACCGTCACCATCACCATCACCATCATCACACTATCATCACCATCACCACCACCACCATCACCATCATCATCGGAGTGCGCGAGGCTGCGGGCGGTGCTGGACCAGCGGGCTGCATAGGGGTGAAGGCGGTGTCGAAGCAGAGGCTGCCCGCCGTGAGGCTCTAGCCAGGCCCTCCCTAGTGGCGAGTCTCAGCGGCGCGCCCGAGAGCGGTGGGAAGCGCTTGGTGCGGAACGTCTCGCTGCATGTGAAGCGTTGCCCGCAGGCTGGGGCTCCCTGGTCGGAGTGGAAGGCTGCGCAGCACGAAGGCCGCCTGCCTGGTGGAGCCGCCGCTGCAGCAGCAATCGAGTGCGATGTCGAGTGCGAGGTCATCATCTGCGAAGCGGAGGCGTCGCTCTTCAGGCGTCGGGTCAAGAAGTTGCACGTGGAGCCGCAGGCCGAGGTGCTGCGGCCTGGCGAGTGGCAAGCGCTCGGCGAGAAGTACGTCGTGTGGGGAGCTGGTGCTTTCGTGGATGGCCTCGCGGCGGGGTGGAGCCTTGCCGAGGCGTGCCCGCCCTGCGACGTTGGGGTGCTGACGCGCGAGCTGGGAGTGGCGGCCGCGAGAGGATCCCGCTGCGGTTTTGCGCCAAGCCGTACCTCAGTGAGAACGCAGCCGAGGCCTGTCTGCCCGAGGCGGGCGCTGGAGCTGCGGAGGTCCGCGGGGCCGCGGCTGGTGTGGTGTCAGGACTGCTGGAGGCGGAAGCCGAGGCGGCCCCGGAGCAGGCGTTGCTCCTCCCCTCGCCGCCCGGCGGCTCGGAAGCTGCCACGGCCTGCGCGGCCGCGCCGACGGCTGCCGCGAGCAGCGCCGCGGTCGCGGAGTACCTGGCGGCCCACCCCGCGGCGCTTCTCAGCGGCGGCGTCGGGGAGGAACCTTTCGACGAGATCGAGAAGTCCACGTGCGAGGAGCATGACGGGCAGGCAGAGCAGCAGGAGCCCGAGGCCATCGGGTTCGAGCTGAATGGCGGGGAGGAGAATTTCGGCGCGCTGCGGGGCGCCATGGGGGGCGCCAAAGGACGACGGGGAGGACCAGAACGAGCTGGAGGCCCACGTGTCGGGCGACGGAGCGGGGGACGAGCAAGGCGGCGGTGCGCGGGCGTCGCGCAAGGAGCCGCCGAGCATCATCGAGGAGCCCACGTGCGAGGAACATGAGGGGCAGGCAGAGCAGCGGGAGCCAGAGGACATCGGGTTCGAGTTGAACAACGCCCTCCAAAGACAACGGAGGGGATAACTGCGACGGCGAGGAGCCGGTCCTGCCCCCGCCCGTTGGCGAGGGCGAATTCTGCCTCGAGGTCGCCGACGTGGAAGCGGTGGCGGCAGCTGCCACGCGGCAGTACGATTGCGTCGAGGCGCTGCGGGCCATCGGCATGCAGAGGTGGGAGGGTGACGCGGCTCATCGAGCGCCGATGGCGCGGTCATCGAGCGTTGGCGACGCGTGCATCGAGCATCTCATCGGTAAGAAGACGGATGTAGTTCGGGGTGTGACTGCTCCGGAATTCTGGGGGGGGGGCCCAGAGACCCCGTGAGTGAGTGCGACAGTTGCGGTGGGCGCAAGCGCTTCGGCTCTGACCTTCCTTGGAAAGTGGGATCATCATCTCCATCTTCCCCATCACCATTACCATCATCAGCATCATCATCATTACCACCACCACCATCATCATCATTGCTCTTGGTACCACCATCACTATTCTCATCATCGTCGTCATCGCCATCATGATCATCATCCCCATCCCCATCGCCAACGCCATTGCCAACAGCATCAACACCATCACAACCAATCATCACCATCAGTACCACCGTCGCCATTAGCATTGTCATTGGCACCGTCATCATCGCCAGCACCATCAGCACCATCATCAGAATCATCATCTTTCCATCCCCCATTACCATTACGATCACCATCACCTTCATCATCATCATCACCATCATCACCATCATCACCACCTCCATCGTCTTCTTTAAAACCGCCATCAACTCCATCACCACCGTCATCTTCATCCCCTTCCCACACCATCATCATCATCACAATCACCATCACCCCCACCATCATTACCATTGTCGTTGACATCGTCATCCTCGTCATCATCATCCTCGTCATCATTACCATCCCCATCACGCTCACCAGCACGATCATCATCATCATCATCACCACAATCGTCACCACCACAGCCACAATCATTGTCTCCGGTGTCGTTGGCATCCTTCTCGTCGTTATTCGCATCACCATCAGCATCATGATTTCCACCCCCATGCCATCACAACCGCCATCAGCATCACCATCATCATCAGCAGCAGCGTTATCATCGTTATCCTCGTCATCGCCGTTGTCATTATCACCATCTCCACCACCGTTACCACCATCATCATCACCATCATCGCCTCCACCACCATTATCATTGTTATCAGTGCTGTGGACATCTGTGCCATAATTGCCCCCACCCCCACCATCACCACCATCACGATCATCACCATCATCATCATCATCACCAGTGTCGTTGACATCGGCACCGTCATCATTAGCATCACCATGTAGTGTGCCATCACCGTCATCGCCACCAATCGCCATCATCACCACCACCACCACCACCGCCGTACTCAGCACCTGTGCCTCTGGCATCATCATCGTCGTCATCAGCAGCATCACCATTGTCACCAGCATCAGCCGCATCGTCATCATCCCCATCGTCAGCACCATAATCATCGTCGGCACCACAATCACCATCATCACCACCACCATCATCGTTGTGGTTGACATCATCATCATCGTTATTTGCCGTTGACATCATCATTGTCCGCATCATGACCAGCATGCGCATCATCCCCAGCCCCGCTGCCATCACCATCATCACCACCATCTCACTCATCACGACCACCACCACCACCATCATCATTATCATTGTTGTTTACATCGTAATCCCCCCATCCCCATCACCATCACCACCATCATCACAACCGTCATCACCATTTTCACGACCACAAGAATAGTTATCATTGTCGTCGACATCGGCATCGCCATCGTCATGCTCATCATCACTCCCAACACCATCATCATGCCATCCCAGTGACCATCACCAACACCATCATCACCACGATCACCACTATCACCACCACCGTTATCATCATGATCAATGCCGTTGGCATGGTCATCGTCAGCATCGTTGTCATCGTCATCACCATCATCATTTCCACCATCAGCATCGTAATCATCATGATCATTCCCCTCACATCAACATCAACATCACTCATTCTCACCATTCGCATTATCACCCCCACCACCACCACCGTCATGGTCGTTGACCCCATCATCATCGGTATCATCACCTCTATCATCATCTTCATCATATTCTTTTCATAGTCGTCACCATCATCACCACCATCATTCTCATAATCGTAATTATCGTCCTCATCATCATCACCATTACCGTCGGTTCCATCATCAGCATAATCGTCATCGCCACCAGCATCACCAACACCATCATCATCGTACTCATCATCACCAGGTGCATCATCACCACCTGCATCGTCATCACACGATCATCTGGAGCATCCGCGTAATCCGCGGCAGTCGCCTCCGCCCCCGCCCGCGGGGCCCCGACGGCCGAGGCCCCACGCCAATCTCTTCTTCCTTTACTACCGCACGGAGTTCGGCGCGCCTTCGGTGGGCGCGGCACGCTCCGCCCGGGCCCCGCTCGGGTCCGACTCGCTATCGATACGCGCCGGCCGTGGATCTCAGATCCCAGTCTACTTTCGCCGCCGTCCTACCTCCAGAGTCGAGCGGCTGTCCCTATTCCCTCCCCTCCAGGGGGCGGGCGGAGGCCCGACCTGCTTCCAAGGCATTCCTGCTTCACGGTTCTGCGCCTACTTCCGACCGAGGCGTATCGAAGCGGGGTGCTGCAGAACAGGCTTCGCCATTGAGGACCGAAGGAGTTGGCGGAATGCGGCGGGAGGGCGGTGGCAGCCAGCGGAAGTAGAACGGGCCAGCTCCGCTGGCGGAAGTCGGCGGAAGCAAATCGATGCCCACTTCGGTCGGATATCAATACGGTGGGGGCGACCGTGAAGTAGTGCGCCCATGAGACTTCTAACCCTGGGGGGATTCCGTATCTGATGCGGGCGGCGGTGATCTCCGTGGTCAAGCCTCAATGCAGGTTCCACCGGCTGTCAGTCCCCGGATTACTTGTTCAAGGGTTCCTTGTCCTGTGCCCTCACCGTGTCGGTTTCGGCCAGCTCGATCCGATTCTGGTTCTGGCGCTCCGACGATCCGACGGGGCTCGATGCTTGCACGGGCGCTGCTGCGTGCATCCTGGAGCGGCCGATCCGACTCCGTCCCAACTCCGCGCCAGTGAGGTCCCACTCTCGGTGGCGCGGCGATAGGGGCAAGTGAGAGGTTGCAGGCCTTGTCAGAGGGCGGCGGGGCTTGTCGGAAGCCGTGTGTGGTTTCGGAGAAGATTCCGCTACACAAAAAGATGATACACAAACGCCCTCCAACGGATTGCTCCTGGGCCCCAGGGGCGGGTTGCGGTGTAGGAATTATAAATCATTGCTGAGAGCTGGCAGTTTTATTCACCGCTGCCCTACCTTCAGATACAAGCACAATTCGTCGGTGGGTGTCTGCGTGTGTGTATACACATGTATGCACACACACACACACACATATATATACATATTGCGCAGAGACACAGAACCTCTCAGAAGGCCGGAGGCCGTCTGAATTTCCGGAGAAGGCCAACGATTTCTGCCTTCTGGGCGCGCTGCCGAGATTCGAGGCAGGGCGCGAGCCGAGCTGATTTCTCGGTTCGAAGCTGGCCGTTTTCGAATGTTCTTTTGGAGACCGTGTCCTTTATCCCCTGGCGAGCACGGGCGTCTCCAGGGAGAGGGGGGTGGGGGAACAGGGGGGGTGGGGGCTGGTCACGTCACCAGTCGCGCTAGCGCCGTTTGGGAATCCTGTGGAATTTCTACAGCGAGCGGCTTGAATAAGGAACACTTACTTTTCAAAAGGGGCTCGGTCGTTCCTGAGGTTTGCATGCGTTCTGCTACCTTCTTGGCGGCGAGCCTCCCTGGTGTTCTTTCAGATTTTGGACGCGCGGGTTCGTTTTGTCTATGAGGGCGGCTGGTCTACTGAACGGGGCTCCAAGATGGGCTCGGTTCCTCACGCTTGCTCGACGTAGTGCGAAAGCTGTCGCGCACAAACCCGGCGCCTCTCTCGGGCCCTCTCGTTCTTTGCGGGGCGCGCGTTGGAGCTTTCGCCCTTATCCGCGTGCCAAGGTTGGGGCATTAAGGCACAGTTCCTCGCAAGAGCACCTCCCGATTCTTAGGCCGCGCGGTTCGGAGCTCATTGGCTCGACATCATGCAACGGTGGTCGCGTTAAGGTCCAGCACATCTCTTGGGCCCCCCCGTTCCTTGCGGGGCGCGCGTTGGAGCTTTCGCCCTCATCCGCATGCCAAGGTAGGCGCATTAAGGTCCAGTTCCTCGCTGAAGCACCTCCCGTTCCTGAGGCCGCGCGGTTCAAAGCTCACTGGCTCGACGATGCAATGGTGGTCGCATTAAGGTCCAGCTCATCTCTTGAGCCCTCCCGTTCTTTGCGGGGCGCGCGCTGGAGTTTTCGCCCCTATCCGCATGACAAGGTGGGGGGCATTACGGCCCAGTGCCCATTGGCATCAGCTCAGACGGCCGCGCGCGGCCTCGTAGGTCTCGCGCGTCCGTGGCGCGGGCGGAGGCCCTCCGCGTTCTTCGGTCCGCTGCTGGGGCCGACGGGGTTAGGCCACAGGACTCGGGCGTCCACGGCGCGGGCCCCACCCCCTTCTCTTCGGCCTCGATGTCCAGTCGTTGGCTTCAGCAAACGCTCGCTCTCGTTGATGCTTGCGGCGAGAAGGCAAATGTTTTCGGGGACAACGCGGGTCTGGGGGACTTAGGGCTATGGGGGGCCAGCCGCGTGGCCGCGGGCTCAAGTCTAAGACGGGCGGACGAGGCCGCGCGCGGCTTGCTAGGTCCACTGATAGGGCAGACGGAGTCGGCCGCAGGACTCACGCGTCCGCGGCGCGGGAGGGTGCCTTCCATGTTCTTCGGTCTCGATGTCCGGGCGCTGGCTTCAACAGCGGCGCGCCCGTCAATGCTGGCGGCGCGAAGGCAACCTTCGCATGTTCGTCTGGGGCAGTCCGGGGCCAGGGGGGGGCAAGGTTGCGGGGGCCAGGCCGCGCGGCCGCGGGCCCTCACGGATCCTCCGGATTTTTGAAGAGTCCTGAGCTCATCCAGGGTTCCGCGTGGTTTTTCATGATGTTTGAGGATTCTTGAACCCCAGGGTTTCGCACGGTTCTTGAGGATCCCCGAGCCATCTTGACCGTTCTTGAGGATTCTTCAGTCCCCCCCCCACAGTTCCTCTGGCTTCCTGAACCCACGCCCAGGGTTTCGCGCGGCTTCTTGGATTCTTGAGCCCCCCAACGGCTCCTCGAGATTCCTGAGGATTCCAGACCCCCCCCCCTTCCCCCCGCGTTTCTTGCGTGGTGCGAGTGGGGGCGCACGCGCGGATCCGAATCGGGAAGTGGTCACGTTAAGGCCCAGTTTCTAGCCCGAGCCCCTGGCGGTCCTGACGCGTCGTTCGCAGGCTGCGCTTTTGCGTGCGTTGTTGGAACGGCGGGGGAGGAGGAGGCGGGCGTTCCTCGGTAGTTTGGCAGAAGGGGCGGGGGTCGAATCGCAAAAGTAAGTCGTGGCGGAACGCCGCTAGAAAGCGGCTCGTCCGTTCCTTCGGATTTCGTAGACTCATTTGGAAAAAAGATGGTTCAGTTTCTTATATACCGTTTCTTAGGTCAGGCCGATGACTGTAGTTCTCACACGGCGCTGGCGCGAAGCCCGACGTGGCCAGGGGTGGGGGGAAGGGGGGGGGGCCGGGCACGGGCATTATCGCGAGCAAGATGCAAACACATTGCCTCAACGCCCCCTCGAGCTGCACGTGCCGCGCCCCTGCCTCGCGGCAGGCGCCGCTGACGTGGCACCTGCCACGCGGAGGGCGCGGAGCCTCGAGATCCGACGCTGCGAACAAAAGTCGTGGGCGAAGAACTGATCCGTATCCGCGTCCTCGCGGAACAAATTCCCCGAGATTTTGGCGGCTTGTTTTTTTCGAGTCGGGCGTTTTCGCCGGGTTTCGGGCCCAGGGGCCCTCGTAGATCGAGCCAGCTCGGAAAATGACACAGTAAGATTGGGCCCAGGGCTCGGGCGGTGATTATTCACGGCGTTGCTTTTTTTGCGCGACGTTGGATCTCCGGGTTCGTATCCGCGGCCTGGCGGGCCGGGCCCCTGGGCCGCGACCCCGCGGATGCTGGGCGTCTTCTCGCGGAGGCCCCGCGCAGAGCGTACCCGTCCAGTCGCACATCCGCGGGATCGCGCTCCGGAGTCCGGGCCGCGAGGGCGGACCCGGATGCGTTCGCCGCTCGTGCGAGGTTGCGGCGCCGTTGGGGGTCCTGGCCAGGGCCTGCGAGTGAAGTCTTGCTGCGGCGTCTCTCCTGGGGACCGAGGCCAGGCGAGAATGCCCGGAGTGAAGATTTGCTTTGCCCAGGTCTCAGGGAACGTGCAGCTCGAAGGGCCGACGCTTGCTGCTCTTCAAGTCTTGTTATCAACTCATTATTCGTTTTTTATAAATACAGCTCTTTGTGTTTTGTGGCCGCGCTTCTGCGTTTCTGAAACTGCGTCGTTGCACGTGCGCGATGGCGCGAATTGATCCATGTCCCAGGGGATTTCGTGCGCGGCAGTTCTCTTATCAAAAAGTCGTGGGTATTTATTAAACACGTTTTTGGTTTTATACCAACATTTTTCCCGGGCCCTCAGCGGATGCATTTTTCACAAGTTGCCAGGGACCTCTCTCTTGGGGCACATGCAGCTGACGACGGTCGTCGGGCCACACGCTCTAGAGAGAAGCTTTGAAAATACGAAATGTGATGTGGTGAGTGCGGGGGTGGCTTGGGCCGCCTCCATGGAACATGCCCATGATACTACCATGTTGTGTGAGTCTACCACTTAGTGGCAAATGGCGGCCCAGACGCAGTGTACATACTTGTTGTTCAACACTCGTCGCCCGCAGAACCAGCTGGAGATTAAACACCATACCTTGTGCGGCGTTCCTGCGAATCCCCGGGAACAGGGCCCAAACACCTTTGTGTGTGTATATATATATACGCGGGCTTCCCAATAACGGATCTGGGACGAACGGACTCGGATGTCTGGGGGCGCCCGGCGGCCCGGGGAACAGTTTGAGGCGGGAGTTCGAGGACGGCATGCACAGGGCCACCTCGTTTTTCGTTCCAGGTCGGGCCTGTCCCCCTACAGGAAGGATATTCCAGAATAGTCCAAGCATGGTCTGGTGACGATGTTTCGTGCTCTTTGTTCTCATACAACAAGTTTTGTTTCGCTACGTTTTATGTTTCTTTCGAAATCTGTCTGTAGGAGGACATGCCCGACCTAAACCTCGCTCCTCCCCACCCCCTTGCAGAAAGGAGGGGGGGAGACGGAACTCGGACGAGGATAAAAATCCGCTCCAGAGCGTTCGGGAACGCTCTCTGAGGGTTCCAGAGCGCTCTGAGAAGGCCGCGGCGCCCGAGACCCTCCAGAGCCGCTGGATCTCAGAGATTCTCGATGTATCCTCACGCGATGTTATTACCGTCCTGGTTTCGTCTTAGAGGGGGAGCGGAGGCAGGAGTAAGGAGGTGGGCGTGTGTAGCTGCTCGGCTCAGGAACGAAAGAAGGACGTGCACGTACATGAATCCACGTTTCGAAAGCACGCATTGTGCGAGCGTTCGTATCACGAGGCTCGTCTAGTGGACTGGGGGTCGTATTCATGTATGTGGTTGGGCGCGTACGTCCTTCGCGGGCTCCCTATCAGTTCCTGACGTTTGGCCCCTCTGGGGCCTCTTAGAGGCGGTTTTTGAAATGCTTTTGGAGCCTCTCAGGGATCTCTCAGGGCCTGATTTGGGCTTCTTGGGAGCCTCGAGGAGCTTATGGGGGGCGCCTCGGGGGCTTGCTGGCGGTCTCGGGGGTCGACTCGGGGCGGAGCGCTCGAAACGTCGGTACGTATTCCCCTTCTGAGGCCTTTCTTGGGCCCCTCTTGGGGCCCTCTTGGGCCGTCTTGGCGGCATTTTGGATCGTCTTGGGCCCCTCTTTGGCCGTCTGGGGTTCCTCTCGGGTGCCTCTTGGAGCGATATTGGGGGCCTCTTGGGCGGTCTTGAGTGCCGAAAGCCCGAATACAATTGTTCAACAACCTAGTGCAAATCAATGCGATCGACCACTTAAGGCCTTCGTGTTGTGCTCTTTGGGGCTCTCTTGGACTGTTATGGGGGGCCTCTTGGGGCCATCCTGGCCCATCTTGGTGCCCGCTTCGCTCCGAAAACAGTCGCGCGACAGCACGCGGAAGAGCCCAGGCGGATTTGCATCTGCTGTCCGCAGCACGGACATTTCAGGAAGGTGCGTGCCATTGCCAGCTTGCACGCTGCACGCGAGAATACAGGGCCTGTTCCGTTCTATAATGGCCGCAGCGCAGAGTTTGGCGTATACCATCTTGAACGCTGCCAATGACGGTTTCAGCGTCACACAAGGAGTGTCATGCCAGTTGTTCCATAACCATGATTCGCCGCAGACCATGCAGATGTCAGCCCAGGCGTTTCCAAAGCTGGCTCCGATGCAGCACATCGCTTTCAACATTGTATTCAGCCCGCGACCTGAAAATGTCAGGCTTTCCGCGCTCCAACAAGCCACACGAAGCCTGACGCTCTCATTGGTGGCATCGCGCAGCACGTGAACATGTTAGACCTGACATTTCGACTCCATAACGCCACGCCTGTTAACAGACAATCGGACGGTACAGTCCTCAACTGCACATGGTGCATCACTCTTCCGTCCTGTTGGGAGTTCACTCGTTCCGTTGGGATCACCCCTTGCGGGGAGGACCAGGCAGCCTCAAGCTACGAGGGAGTCGATCTGGAGTCCTCTCGGAGTGTGCCAGAGCACCTAGGAAAGGCCGCGGCGCTTGGTATGTCCTGGCTTGTTGGTTCTCGAGGGCCCTCATAATATCATAACCAGGTTTTTTGTATCGTGCCCTCGTCGTGGAGGGTGGAGCAGGAAGAATGGGGAATGGGGGCATGGTGGCGGAGGTGAGGAGGAGAAGAACGTGAGGAGGCGGAAGCGAAGAAGGAGGCGGAGGTAAGGGGGAGGAGCGGGGGTGGAGGAAACGGTGATGGTAATCGTGGTGACGATGACGATGCCGACGAGGAGGAGGAGGAGGAGGAGGAGGAGGAGGAGGAGGAGGAGGCGAAGAAGAACAGGCGAGGAGGAGGGGGGGGGGCGAGGAGGATGAGGGGGGCGAGGATGAGGGGGGGGGCGAGAAGTATGGGGGGGGGGGGGGGGGGGCAAGGAGGGGGGTGGCGAGAGGGGGGGGGGCCGAGGAGGATGAGGGGGGTGGCGAGCTGGCGACGCTGCAGTCGGACCGATCGCAGCGGCCCAGAAGCGGGGGGGCAGGAGAACGGGACAAGGCCGCACGCGCCCTGATTGGAGCGTGCGGCTGACACTTCGGAGCTCGACGGCCAGAAGAGGGGGGGTGCGGGAAGGAGGTGGCTCCAGGAACACCACCGAGCTGTCCTCACCCAGTCTCGCGCGCATTCCCCCCCCATCCTGGGTCCTCGCCTCGGGCCTGAGGCCTCCAGGAAGGCCCAAGCGAGGGCAAAGAGCGTCTGAGAGCGTCGATCTCCCTCGGTACTCCCAAATCTATCCTCGATCTTCCTCGATCCGGGATCCTCCAAGATCCGCCATCCCCCAAGATTCTCGATCTTTCCTCCTTGATCCCCGATATCCTCCCCGCGATGATCTCCGATCCTCCGAAATCATCCTCCGATCCCCGATCTCCTCCTGCACCGCCGATCCTCCTCGATCCCGCATCGGATCCTCGATCCCCCGATCCCCCGATCCCTCGATGCCGCGCGCGCGGAGCGCGCGCGGCCGCGGGGTGCCAGGTGGACTGGAGTTTCACCACCGAGGCGAGGCTGAGCATCTCGGAGCGCAGCGGGGGGGAGGTGCAACTGCACATGATGCTCATCGTCTCCTTCGTCGCCACACCTCCTCCCCCCTCCTCGATCCTCTTCGTTATTCTCCTCCTCCTCCTCGGTCCCCTTCCCTCCTCCTCAAACTCCTCCTCCTCCTCCTGCTGCTCCTCCTCCTCCTCCTCCTCCTCCTCCTCCTCCTCCTCCTCCTCCTCCTCTGTCCTCTCCCCTCGAGCAGCGGGGAGACGGCCCCGTCGTCTTGCACAACACCTTCTCGCACGCGGATGTGGCTCCCCGCGTGCGCTCGGGTCAGGCTGTTGGGATCCATAGGGGAAACGAGTGTGCTGACCTTGGCGCGCAGCGAGGAGCGGAGGCCGCCGCAGCCCCCCTTCGCCATCTCATCAAAGGCCTGGCAGAGGAAGCCCATGCCAAGACGCGCCCTGCTTGCCTCCATGGGTTTCTCAGGTTTCGATGGTTCTGCGATGGAAAGCGTGACTTCCCTACACCAAACAATCAACGGACGTCCTGGGCTTGCAGGGTTGGGTTTCTCGTGGAAGGATTATTGTGGTCGAGCTCCTGCTGTAGTGCCGCTGATGCCCGTCGCGCCACCCTTGTACACCAGCGTATCGAGGCCATCCTGTCTCACGTCTGCGAGGTCCTCGATCGCTCGGATCGTCCCGAGTTCGGGGGCTCGATCGGGGCCGACGCGGGCCTTTCTCGGGTGGCGGAGCTCGAGGCCCGATCGGGCCACGCCATGACCCGCCTCCAGAATGGGGGGTGAACCTGTGAGCTTTGCCGCCAGTCCTTTGAGCATTCTTCCTTCGAGGCATGGCTCCAGCCCAGTCAGTGTCGGGGAGACGAGCTCAAGCGGTACCTAAGTGAGCAGAGTCAACGCATTCACGTGCCCCCGTCCCGTGTCGCGCCCCTTAGGGTGGGTGAGCGGGTCGCCCACGAGTCTCACGCAGTCGGTATGCCGAAAAGGCCTGACCTGGTGCTGGAGGCGGGCCCGCTGTGCCTCCAGTGCCTCAGGCAGCGGCAGGCTTGTGAAGCTTGCGGGGGGGGGCCCCGGAGCCCAGGGCCCCGAACCACGTCAGGTCGGGAGCACCCGTGGACTCCCGCCCAAGTCTGGGCAGGACCGGCCCATCTCTCAGGCGGGCGGCGGCTCCTCCCCCCTCGGCCCATCCTTGGCAGCAGCACCAAGGACTTGAGGCGGCGGGGGGGGGGGGCAGGACGGGTGGTAGGGCGGGTTGGTCCCTCTCTCTGATCCCCTCTCCCAGTCGGTTCCATGGCAGTCGATCCTTGCGAGAGGTTTGGCAACGCCACATCCCCCTCTCGTAGAGCTATCTCGACTTTTCTGTCCTCCCCTCTTCCTCCTCCTCCTCCTCCTTCTTCTCCTCCTCCTCCTCCTGCTCCTCCTCCTCCTCCTCCTCCTCCTCCTCCTCCTCCTCCTCCTCCTCCTCCTCCTCCTCCTCTCCCTTCTACTCCTCACCCACTGTTCTGCCGCACGACGAACAGGTAGGCGACCTGCACCCCGTCCCCGGGCCAGTCCAGCGCCGCCGCCTCCGCCAGTGCCGCAGCACCGGCCTAGCTGGCCAGCGCAGCGCGCAGGCCAGCCGCGCCCGCCGCTCGGTCGACCCCCAGCGCCGCCCGCAGCTGCCGCGCGGTCGCCCGCTGTAGCGCGACGCTGAGCTCGCGGCCCCAGCGGGCGACTAGCTGTCCAGCGACCGCCTCAGCGGCGCCGATCCCTTCCTCCTCTTCCAGAAGGGCGGCCCGTTCGCGGGCCAGGGCCTGCAGGCGCTGCAGGGCCGCTTTGCCGTGGCGCCCAGCGGTCTCAAGCTCCAGGGGCACCATGCGCCACGGCGCTTGTCCCGCGGGGTAGCGCCGGCGCTTGTCCGCCTCTGCTGCCGCGTTCACCGCCCCGTCGCGGCCTGCGGCGGCGGCCAGGCCGTAGACATCACCGGGTACGCTGTACCCGATGGTGACGTCGAAGAACAAGCGGGACTGCCCAGCCCGCTGCGTTTCGAGGTCCAGGATGGCCTCTTCGCGCTCGGCGGCCAGGCGGTGGCCGCAGGTGGCGCAGGCCGCGGAGGGCCGCGCGGCGGTTCCGCGCTCGTCGCAGCCAGCGCACCGCCAGGTCCAGCGGTCCCAGGCCGGGACGTGGACTTGGCGCCCAGCGTGGTAGCCATGCTCCACGTGAATGCGGTGCCAGGTCTGTTCCAAGTCCCCGCTGCGCGCCTTGAGGCCACCCCCGCGCGAGCAGCGCCAAGCGTGCCGGGCCTTGTCGCCGAGGGCCTCGCCGTAGCGCTGGCCGGCGCGGTCGCCCTTCCGGGCGCATTTGCAGCAGTTGGCGCCCGGCGGCGCCGCGTCCTGGCCCAGCAGCGCGCGGGCGGTGTCCCAGCAGTCGGCGTCGTCGAGCCGCTCCCTGGCCTGCCCGGGCGAGGCGCTCTGCCATTCGGAGGCGTGCGGGCCGCCGCAGCTGCGCAGGCGAGCCCGCGCCTCGGGCTCCAGGGCTCCAGGGCGCCATCATCATCATCATCATCATCATCATCATCATCATCATCATCATCATCATCATCATCATCATCATCATCATCATCATCATCATCATCATCATCATCATCATCATCCTCATCCTCATCCTCATCCTCATCCTCATCCTCATCATCATCCTCATCCTCATCCTCATCCTCATCATCCTCATCATCCTCCATCATCCTCATCATCCTCATCATCCTCATCATCATCATCATCATCATCATCACCATCATCACCATCATCATCACCATTACCATTACCATTACCATTACCATTACCATTACCATTACCATTACCATTACCATTACCATTACCATTACCATTACCATTACCATTACCATTACCATTACCATTACCATTACCATTACCATTACCATTACCATTACCATTACCATTACCATTACCATTACCATTACCATTACCATTACCATTACCATTACCATTACCATTACCATTACCATTACCATTACCATTACCATTACCATCACCATTACCATCACCATCGCCATCACCATCATCACCATCACCATCACCATCACCATCATCGTCATCTTAATCATCATCAGCAGCAGCATCATAATCAGCATCATCATCATCATCATCAGCATCATAATCATTAGCATTATCATCCTCATCCTCATCCTCATCCTCATTCTCCTCCTCCTCCTCCTCATCATCATCATCATCATAATCATCACCATCATCATTATCATCATCCTCATCCTTATCCTCATCATCATCACCATCATCATCGGCCATTGCGCCACTGTCTGATGCCGACTCGCCTCCGATGGGTGGCTCCCCAGTTCGGGGACGTGCCTCAAGCTCCTGCCAGTACGGTCTCCTTCGATGTTCCTCCATCCCCGTCGGCCTCGTTCGCTCACGAGGCAGCAGGGGATATGGGAACCGCGACGGGATCGACTAGTGCGGGCCTTGGCACGGGGTCTGCTGGGATGGAGGCCAGCCAGCGAGGTGCTGGTAGCGGCCCTGCTCCTGCTGCGTCTTCCCCGTCCGAGAGTCGGTCTGTTCGTCCTAGGGCCACTTTCGCTCCTGCGGTCAGTGGTCGCTCGCGAGCTGCCAGTGAATTTCAGCAGGCCGTGGACGAATTCTCGCAGCCATTTCCTGCCCCTGGCGTCAAGCGTCGCTGCGTTGGCGCGGGTGTTCGAGGTAGGCCCACCATTAGTCAGGCCACAGTGCTTGCTGTTCCTCTCCCTGAGCGTGGTCAGATTTTCCCCGTCCATGCCAAGGGTCATCAGCTGTCCGTCTCTTCGGGTCACGTGATAATGTGCACGCAGTGCGTATATTATACGACAGGCCAGGCTGGCAGGCTGGCCTGTTCCTCTTAGAGTGTGTCGTTCCTGATCTGCTGTCGGTCCGTGATGCCAGGAATCTCAAGTTGTTTCTGGACGGCAAACAAAAAGGGGACGAGGGGAAATCCGATTCTCGATTTCTCGTGGTTGCCAAGCCTTTAGAGGTTGGGGATCCCGAGATGTCCTGGGTCCGACTTTAATTCGTTCTCCCCCTCGGGGGGACAGTCCATGCTTATGTTTTTCCTTGCTTTAGGCGGTCCTCGTGGCGCGGAGAGAGGCGCGCGCGCCCCGCCGCGCACGCCCCCGCCGCCTTCGTCGCCGCGTCATCTTCATCAGCCAAGACCGCCACGCTTCTTTCTGCTGCACCGCGCTCCTCTTGCCGACCCGCCGCACTGGCGATGTCCTTTCCCGCCAGTCTGGCCCGCCCCCCCGCGCAATACGCGGTCTCCCAAGCGGCGTCTACGACGTGACCCCTGGCCGGGCTCCCTGGTGCAGTCGCCCTCCGGGGCCTGGTCCATACTCGCCTTGTTGCTCGGGACTGGCGTCGTCCCCAGGGTATACGTGATGTGTCGCGGAGTGGTGCAGCCTTCCAGCAGACACCGTGCTTCCCCTGCGCCCCGTCCCCGCCTACTTGGCATGTTCTGAGCCGCTGCCGCGGCCCTGGCCCTTGGCGCCCTGCGGCGACATGGTCATAATTCCACCTCTGGCACCTCTGCCTCTGGCCTGCAAGATGCATCAGCTTCCCTGGGCGTTGCAGACCACCCAGCCAGTTCCACCAGCAGCAGCTGCACCTCAGCCGCCGCTTCTGAGTGCTGGCCCGGCCGGCTTGCGCGTCGTTTAGTAGCTAATTAGGCTGGCCCGTCCCCGGACCCCCTCTCGGCGACTGCTTCACGCGTCCGCCCGCGACCAAAAAAAACTCCTCTTGCCGAGATCCCTCGGGTGGGTAAGTCGAGTGTTTTTCGGTGTCTGAAGGGGCCGTATTGGTCGCGCATTCAGCTGTGCATGCGCTGCGCCTCTAGGAGCGCCGCGTCCGCCGGTCAGCGTCTTCCCTCCCTCCCTCTCTCTCTCTCTCTCTCCTCCCTCGCTCCCTGCCTGCCTCCCTCCCTCCCTTCGCTCCTTGTGGCCACGGCTTGAGCAAAGGCTCGTGGCGCGCATGGTAAGGAGGACGAGGAGGCGAATGATGATGAGCATGAGGAGCGAAAGGATGAGAAGGAGGCGGGAGGATGAAATCCTCATCTTTCTTCTCTTCCCTCACCCCTCATCCCTCATTTCTCTGCCTCCCCCACCTCCATCGTCCCCCTCCATCTCCCCGCCACCATGGTCCCTGTCCTCCGAAAAACAACACCAGGACGAGGAACAGCAAAACGAACGGAGTGATTCCAATTAAGATTGCAACGACGACGACAGAGACGACCATGTGCTCGACAACGGCGACGGCAAGGACCGCGACGACGAGGGTCTCAGACACCTGCCACGGTCCATCCATGGCAGCTCCTCATCCCGGATCGATGTTTGACGGCCTCCAGGCCCGAACTGGGCCTCTGGGGGCCGAAAGCGCTGAAAGACCTCGATCCTCGAACCGACCTACGGCCGGTAACGTTCGGTAGCGCGTCGCGCCGCCGGTTCTGGCCCACCACGGTTTGGAGTGACACGCCACCCACGTCATGGTCCGAGGCGTCCACTTGCCGAGCCTTTCCGAGTCTCTCGCTTGCGGAGCGGAGCGATGTGTTATCCACTTGCGGGGGATAGCGTGTCGCCGGGGCCGCCGTGGCGACACGCTGTCCGAACATTCCCGACCGTATCGATCGATGGATCGGCGACGACGCCGTCGCCAGCCTCCTCGCCGTTGCGGAGAGCTCCGAGGACCGCCGAGGGCTCCCCTTCCCCAGGGCCGGTGCTTCAACCCGCGAGCTGTTTTTTCAACGTTCCAAGGGGGGGGCCCCCAACTGGGCCTCTCCAGAGGCTGCGAGCGGAGAAACGCCGGCCGCCTCGCTTTTGTCCGAGCCCCCCGATGTCTGGGAGGCCTCACGACCTCAGGCCTCCACCCACACAGCACTACGACCTCCAGCCTCCAGCGTCCGAGCTTCCGCTCCCATCTCGACCCGTCGAGCTCCAGATCACACCAGAGCGACGCGCCGACACCTGGCCTCCAGCATCCGATGTGCCACACCACTTCCGCCACCGCGTCGGCCACCAGTCGCCCCAGGGACGCCACACACGGCGTAGCCCGTCAGGGTGTTATCGGACGGGGGGCCCGGACGAGGATAGATCCGTTGGTTCCAGAGCGCTTTCAGAGCGTTCCAGAACGTGCTTTGCAGGCCGCGACGCCCGACGTATCCTCCAAAGCCGCTGGGTCTCAGAGCTTCTAGCTTCATCCTCACCTGACTTTGTCCTCGTCCTGGCTTCGTCTTACGTTACTCCTTCAGGAGCAACACGCTGATGGGCTCTCCACAACGGCGTGTCATCGGTACTGTTTTGGCTCCCCACCGGGGGGTCATGGCGCCAACATCGCAGAGCGGATTTCGCTCGGAAAACATTGGGATGGGTCCAGATTCTCCTGGAGAATTTCGCGCCCGATTTCGATGTGAGTTTCGCGCGGATTTGTTTAATGCCAGGCAGACTGCAAATAAACCGCGTGAAGTCAACTTCGTTTTTCGCTCGCCGATTTGAGGATCTGCAGTGATAGAAATCCCGGCGAAAATCCGCTGCAGCACGCCTGCAAGCTCGGTGCAGTGAGAGGGGTGAAGAGGTCACATCCGAGGCACTCCGCGCGAGGAGCTGCCGCTAAGGCCAGAGGATCTGCCGCTGAGGCCAGAGGATCCGCGCCCACCTCCTTCTCCTCCTCCTCCTCCCTCCTTCTCCTCCTCGGAGCGAGGAGGAGAAGGAGGGAGGAGGAGAAGAAGGAGGAGGGGTGCGCGCGCGGGCGCGCGCGGGCTCCGCGCGAGGAGCTGCCGCTGAGGCCGGAGGATCTGGCGCCCACGAGCTACGTGGTCGTGGGCGGCGGCGCGCGGGGAAAGAAGCAGGCGTGGGCCCGCCGTGCCTCCGTCCGACCCTCCTCCTCCTGCGGCGTCTTCTCCTGCTCCTGCTCCTGCTCCTCCTCCTCGTCCTCCTGCTCGTCCTCCTCGTCCTCCTCTTCCCCCGCCTCCTCCTCCTCCTCCTCCTCCTTCCTCGTCGTCGCCACTGGGGCTTCCGCTCAGTCCTCCCCAGGCATCCAACGAGGGGAGGGCATCCTCGAGTAAGGCTCGAGGTTTTCGGACGGTGGCGTTGGTTTT